GAGAATCACATTCCACAACACTCCCCCCGGTTCTGCACAGGGGTGACTGCTGTACCAAAACAAAATAAAATACAGTTGGACATCCAAAATTTCTCCTCTGCTCACGCCGTGAAACTTCTAAGTTCGTGTTGTGCCACTGAAATGGTCTTGAGTGATCTCTTCGGAGGAACGCATTTGGTGGATCTTGCTCCGCGTCATGCTGAGTACTGCCTCTTATTGCTGTCCTCTACGATCTAGTCGGGAATTTAGTTTCTGGGTCAACCTCGCTTCTTGGCTGAGTGATGCCTCGGACTATTTTTCTCTGCGATCTAGTCGGAAAACGTCAGTCTTGGGTCAAGTCTCGCTTTTCGCCGAGGTCCTGCCACGCATATTGCTGTTCTCTCCAGCGAAATTCTACCCAACATCTCCTACAAACTTGCCATGAAATCCTACGTGCTTGCGTCGAGAATTCTGACTGTCCTTCAAATGCGTAATGATGTCCACGCTTTGCTGTTGTGTCGGTGGTGACGTGGTAGCCCCAAAAACAAAGTTACGCATCAGTCTTTTTTTTTTTTTATTACCGTTCTGCTTTTGGTGTGATAAAAGCCCCTCATACTCTTTTCGTTGCACGATTGGCAACTCAACTCTTGGAAGCATAACAGCCCCTCATACGTGCTGTTGGTGGCTTGATAACCCCTCACACGATCACTTATCCCGTTCGTGACAACCGTACTCTCCTTTTCATCCCAACATCACACATTTCGCAGAATTCCGAACACAGGAAACGGTTCAGACACGAGACAAAAAAAAACTTTCGGAACACAAACAAGGCCATTCATCTTCGGACAGAGGACATGATCATTTCATCACGTGCCTGAGCGGGTCTGAGACCCTAGTAGCACAAGTGGTGCTGCTGTAATGCGCTGAGTCGCCCCTCGGGGGCTTGCGCGATGGTCAGGGGGATGTCGTCCGCGGGCGTGGTCGATGGTTCTAGGCGCGCTCCGTGCTGCTGGCCTACCTCGTACTCTTCGCTCTCTCGCATGACTGTTATCTAACAACCCTCTCCTGCTTTCACCTCGCAGCTGACGTCCGGACTCCTGTTGACTTCTTCAGCTTCGAACCGCGCGCTCTTGTCGACGCTGCGGGAGCTATCTTGTTCTTCGATCCTGGCGTCCTCCGCTGCTTGGCGGGCCTCCGCTGCTTAGCGGGCCTCCGCTGCTTGGCGGGCTTCATCTTCGCGCCTGGTAGCCATCTCGACCCTGCTCTCGATCGCCGCAAAGCGATACTCCTAAACCAAGCTCGACCGCGAATCTCGACGACGTGTCATAGCTAGCGTGATCGATAATTCGGTGGCTCAGTTCTTTGTGTTGGGAGTGTAGAGCAGCTGGGCCATGACGGGCCGTGGTAGGGTAGGGACGTGTAGGAAAACGTGTTGTAAAACGTATTGTATTAATCGGGGGCGTGCTTGAGCTCGTCATTCCATCACGGCATCAAGTCATGCATAACGCTCAAACACCCAAAACGAATCTCCATGAATGTCCACCAATCTACCACACTCCCAAGGAAAACATAAAGAAACTTCTTGTTCCTCCGTAGTTCGTCACTGCAATACCAGCAGATGTATACGCAATAGTCTATACCACCCGCATGCCATGCTACGAGTATATCGAATAGATTTTGTGTCACGCAGACTGGTAAGATTACCGTTTGGTAGGGGGACGTTCTTTGTCTGAGCTCCAGCGGTATCAGGGTAAGGGCAAGCGTTAGCTCCCGCGTGGTGTTTGATTTTGGGTTGGGGACACCCACCACGCCACCTGCGTCCCTCAGCTTCGTTTGACGATCATTTTGCTGTCGCGCAC